AAAAAAAAAATTAAAAAAAAAAATTTCGAACTTCGAAAAAGCATTGATTTTTGTCAAAAAACTGAAAAATTCCATATGTATTGACTTACAAAAATTTTTTAATATTTTTTATCGGAAAGTACATCTAAAAACAAAAATTTTGAAAAAAAAAAGGTACCTAAATGTTTAGTTTTGAAAAAGTTATGGCTATTTGAAAATAAAAAAGCCATTTTTTTGAAAAATTCATAACTTTTTTGGAGTTAGGTAAAAAAATTCAAAAAAATTCTGAGAACCGTTTTTTATAGGGTAGAAAAGGATGGAAAACTTTCGGCCAAATCGAAAAGGGTCGGGGTCAAAAGTGGTCGATTTGGCATGGAATACCCCTTATAAAGTTGATAAATGATAAAATTAGGGTTGTTGCGAAAAACGCTAAAATATCAATTAGTTCATTAAACTTAATTTTGCAGAATATTTTATTAATTAACCGACAGTAAATTTTATAAAAAAGTTAACTATATATTAGTAACTGTGCAGAATATTTTATTAATCAACCAACAGTAAATTTTATAAAAAAAATAAACTATATATTAGTAATAAAATAATTATACCCACTATGGAATTAATCCGACTAGTTTTAATCACAATGTTTGTCTGCTTAATAATAACGCATATTAACGGGGTGACCCCACTGCCCTCAGCGAATTCAATCTCAACCTCTAAGCAAACTTCCTTAAAATCGGAGCTAAAAAAACTCAAGTACAAATTTACAACGGAGATAAATGTTCGATCACAATCCAACGACACCATTGAAATCACTATCGAAGATCCTTGCAATTTTGAAGACGTAAACAAGCGCGTGACTTGTAAACTCGACGACCCAAATTTCTGCAAGTTGTGCCCTTACACCACTTGCAAGCACTTTGACAAAGAAATAACAATTGGAACAAGTATTATTCCGAAGAATAACGAGGGTGAAGGATACTGTGTTGCGTTTAAAGACATGTCATCAGGCTGCAACAAGCACCACGGTAATTGGGCGATGATAAAGGCCTCGTCTTTCAAAGGTAACCTCAATTCAAATACCTACATCAGGTTCTGCCTCTGTAAACGACCTGGATTTATTGGCAACATGACTCTGTTCGGGAACTGTGAGCATCCCTTTATCTGCGACGGAGACGTCGTCAACATAAACGTTCCCTACAATGACATAGAGTGCAAGTGTCTCAACGAATTCAAATCGAAAATCATTGGAGACAATTGGCACAGTTGCGTTCCTCCTTCTGTTGGGGAACGCGTCAACTGGTCAACCGTGCCCAAACCCCATAATATCGCCGAGTCTTTCATTCCCGTAAAAACATACTTTGACAAAATGATCTCTTATTATGTTGGGAACCTGGATGAACTGATCGATCCCTGCAGCAGGTGTCCTGTTACCGGGAAGCCGACCTACGCCAGATCAGTTACTATTAACACACGTGGTAACTCTGATGCTACGGTGATCTGCCGACCGGCTGAAAGTGATGAAAAAAACGAGCCAAACTGGGGCATCCCTTTGAGGAGACATACTAACACTGGCAGTGATGGAAATATGAAGCGTCTGCTGAAAGGCTCCTGGGGTCCGGATGTCATGTTGGCTATCAAGTGGAAGGAGCTGTGGGTCTACGATGTCGCCAAACATAACAAAACCGACAAGAGCACGCAAGACTGCGTGTTTGTCTTTAATTACAAAGACAACGAAGATTTCTATCTAAAGTTAGGACTGGACAAAAATTATCAGTATGCCATAAACGCTGGCAAGGACGCTTTTCTAGGCCTAACCGTCTTACCAATGTCAACGTTCACTCCAACGGTGCTAGCTGAGTGCCACAGAGGAGGTATAATTGACTATAACCCGATATCCCTTCGGTACAAATGCAATATCTTGAATGAAAACCTGGCTTGCTTTCTCGAACAACATGAAATCAAAGATTTTATAATCAACAGCAAACATAATAACATATCCTCAACTTTTCTGATTCGGAACTATCAACAAAAAAGGGGTCTGTATATCGATGATAGCAGTTACTGGGATGCGGCACAAGAATTGGGGCGTGCCTTTGGTGTAGCTCTGTATGAATTTAATGATGAAAGCTATCAGTACCTGACTTACAATCCAGCGATTAGATCTAATCAAATTCTTAAAAAGAATTTTCCGTTTGTTGCCATGCGGGTCAGGCCAATGTCGGATAAAGAAATGAAAAATAGCCATTGGAAACGACATCGAATTTCCGGAATTCGACATTTTGTTGTTGATTTTGTGGTGACTAATGATGATAAGAGTAGTGAGGGTTTTCTCACCGAACATCATCATCATACAGCAGACACTAATTTTGTATATAAGTGATTTTTAAATTGAAACTATTGTTGATTATTGACCACTTTTTTTTTTATATATCCCATTGATAATGATAATGATATATTTTTTTGCGGAACTGAAAAAAAAAAAAATAACCAAAATTCAATTATTTTCAATATTAGTTTTTAAAACCAATTTACTTAATATAAACGTTTACTAAGTTTGATTTTTCCTCGCATAGTTTTGTCGCCAGTAAATAGTGGCATTACAATCGATTTTGTAAGAGGCTCTGACGATGTACTTTCGATGTATTTTTCCATCTTAACTTCAAACAAAGGTATACAGGGAGCCGACACAGTATCAGACTTACCAGTGAAGCAAGGTAACTTGCGCCTAGCTTCGGTGAAGACTGATTGTTTAGGAAAGCAGGGTTCCTTTATTGTCAGTACGTTATCATTCCAAATGGTTCTACAAGAAGTGCAAGGAGTCTTTTTGTTCGAAGGATCGCGATTCCCGACATCGTAACTACTTGAACTACAATTGCACTCACCGGATGTAGCATCAAACTTGTTGTTTTCATCGGCATTAGGTATCTCCATGGTGCAGGGGTTGCGCATCGGATGGAATCGGTTCAGTGGATGTTGGACGAATTTATTACCGAGAGAATCCGTTCCGCCGAATTCGCACACGAATCTGAAGGATTTGCGGTCAGTCGAAATAACCGGCTCATCTTCATGAGTCATGTTGATATCTCGGGGATTAACCCGACAATTATTCTTTTTGTCCATCAGGATGTTGTTCGGATGGTAGATTTGGGAGTTATTGCAGGCAATTATCTTGTTCCCTTCCGGGCCCCCGAATAAGTTCGGAAACCTGGACCGGCAGACTACGTCGTTGTTTATCGTCATAACAGCGTAGGTCGTCCGTAGATTGCAGCGAGGTCGCTTGCTGACGCACCAGATTCCTTCGTAGAGCTGCTTGTTTGCCACGAATATCTCTTGTTTCTTACGGTCGCGGATTATCAACGAGTAAAGAGACAACCCTGGGCAGATCTTATCGCACTCGGCGTCGTAAGTTGCGTCAGTGCCTTCGTTGTGCAGCTCATAGTCGTCTGTCAGGGTCATGTTATCTGGTAACTTGATTAAAAAGATCGCGGAGGATGTTGAGCAGACTGTTGGGTTCTTGGAGTTGGTGATAATGTTCGGAATGTTCGACATTATGTTGCCGTTCAAAAACTCTGCTAGACGTCGGTTCGATAGTTTGTAATTGTACTTGGAGATGTAGCCGTAGTAATCTTTGGAGTTTATAGATATTGTCAAAGAATAGGCAATCACCGCCAGGATTACTGCGACAGTAAGTACCACTAAAATCATTTTGTTGATAATTTTTGAAAAGTCTTTATATATCTAATAAATACAAGTAAAAAAAAAAAAAAAATTTTTTTCATTTTTAACGAAGTTGGCAAATAAACGATCAACGATTATTAATTATTTATTTGATAGATAAAATAGAAAATTTATAATAAAATAACAAACAAAAAAATTAATAATTTAATGGTACAATAAGTAATCAGAAATCCGAACAAAAACAGTTTCACTGTAAAAAATTGCGCCAAATCCACGTTCATAAAACTCATCTCAATAACATTTGTACTTTACAAAGAAAATTAGATTCGTTTCAATAATTTTTATTCTCTACAAAAAGATGTGAAATACAAAAAAATACCAAGAAACCGTCATAATGTTGAAAAAATTGAAAAACAATTTGTTGAAAATTAAAAAATTATAAAAAAAATTTTTTATCGTACTTGGCGCGCGTCATTGAGTACCCCAAATTTTTTCAGGATAAATAAACATCCTTTTCATGTTGAGTAATTTATAAGTAAGTCAACCTTCACGATATATCGACGTGTATTAACGTGAAGGTTGACTTACTTATAAATCACTCAACATGAAAAGGATGTTCATTTATCCTGAAAAAATTTGGGGTACTCAATGACGCGCGCCAAGTACGATAAAAAATTTTTTTTATAATTTTTTAATTTTCAACAAATTGTTTTTCAATTTTTTCAACATTATGACGGTTTCTTGGAATTTTTTTGTATTTCACATCTTTTTGTAGAGAATAAAAATTATTGAAACGAATCTAATTTTTTTGTAAAGTACAA